GCTGTGCGGATACTGGGGTGAGTTTCCAGTCTGACCTGAAGACATAAGCCAGACTTCCTGTGCTCTGGACCACTTCTTTGCATCTCCACGACTGTAACTGAGGTCTGTGGTGTCATTATTTTACGTGTGTCTCTGCAGTTGTTTCCTAACTGGTCTGCCTGCTTCCACTCTGGTCCCCAGAGTAGTGTGTGTGTGTGTGTGTGTGTGTGTGTGTGTGTGTGCGCGCGTGCGTGTAATGTAATTCACATCTTGTAACACCCCCAATTAAAACCCAATTAATAAATAAGTACAACTCCTAACTAAACGCCAGCGGTTTCCCATAGACTGAGTAAAACCCAGCTCCCTTTTATGACAAACAAACCTGTGGTAGGTCTGGCTCCTGCCTTCTTCTCCAATTTTATTTCCTACCATACTCCCTGCAGCCACTCTCTCCAGCCACCCTCACCTATTCCTGCGCCCCATTCTTGGCAGGCTTGTTCCTCTGCCTCCAGGATTTGCATTCACCATTTTCTCCATCAGGAAAACTGTTCTCAAACCTTCACTTGGCCAGCACCAGTCTCGGCTCGAGCTTTGCCTCCTAGAAATGCCTTTGTTGCCCAGCTTCTCTCCTCCCCAGGCTCTCTCTCCTCTTTTATGTTCTTCTTTTGTCATGATCTGAACTTATTTATTTGTTACTTATTGCTTTGTTTTCTGTCTCCCCACTGTGGATTGTTGTCTCCATGAGAGCCAAAACCCCTTCTGTCTCGTTCTCCGCTGCATCCCAAGCCCCTGGCACACAGCAGCTACTTAATGTGTATTTGTTGAATGAATAACTGCATGAAAGGTGTCTGAGGGAGTTTGGGTGGGTGAATAAAACTCAGCCAGCCTAAGAATAATAGAAAAGTATGGAGAATAACTAACATGAACGAAAGACAGAGGCACACGAATCGGCATGGGATGTACAGGGGAGCTGTAAGTAGCTCAGTGTCACTAGATAGCAGAGCATCGGCAGAGAGTGGCTATAGATGTGGCTGGTGATAAATACAGGACTAAGCTCCCAGAGGCCATTATTTTGGTTTAGATTTGTTCTTCTCAAACATTTTAACCACAACCCACAAGAAATACATTTTATATTGTCTGTAAACTGAGCTCCATTCCCAGCCTTTAAAAGGAACCACATTCACTGGCTCCCGGCCCCTTCCTCCACTTCAAAGCCAGCAGCGACAGGGTGAGTCCTCACAACATCTCTCTCTAACCGCCTCTTCTGCCTTTCTTTTACACTTTTAAGGACTCACGTGATTAAATTTGGCTCATTTGGGGAATCCAGGATAATCTTTCCGTCTCAAGGTTCTTAACTTTAATCACATCTTCAAATTCCCTGTGCCATGTAAGGTAACATACTCCATGGTCAGCTTTGTTGGGCTATCATACCGCCTGCCTCAGGGATGTTTATAGGAGTTTTCCCTCCCTCCCTCCTTTCTTTCAATAGATGTCCATTGAGTACTGACTCTTCCCCAGTGTCAGGTACAGGTACACAGCAGTGAATAAGATGGACAATGTTCCTGCCTCCATGGGGGCCTATATTCTAGTACAGAAGACAGATGACAAACAAGTAATCAAGTAAAGAAATAGGTAGGTTACAGATTGTACCGTGAAGATAGTAAGTAAGTTGATGAGTAGACAGAAATCACCTCGGGAAGACCTCTTTGGTCTGGGAGGGACAGGTGGGCAGGGAGGGGCTCTCTGAGGAAGTGACCTGTGATCCAAACTCTGAAAGATGTAAATACATCAGCCACACTATGGCAAGGAAGAGGATTCTAGCAAAGGACATGGAGAGTACAAAGTTCCCCAGGCAGCAAAGGGCATGTGTTGGTCAAGGAACAGTCTGGCGGCCAGTGTGAATGGAGCAGGGTGAGCCAGGCGAAAAAGCGGAGTAAGTGAGGGTGGCAAGACGGGAAGAGGTGAGGCCCCGCAGCGGCTGAGAGGCGGTGTGTGACAAGGGCTGCGGATTTTACCCTGACAGCAATGGGGCCCTGTTGAAGGGCTTTAAATGGCAGTGTGTCACATGATCTGATTTCTGTTTTTAAAAGGTAGTGGGCTATGTGAAAATGACTTAGAAAGTGCAAGAATAGACTGGAAAGACACGCTGGGGGCTACTGTAATCTAGTGTGGAGATGACAGTGGTTTGGACTAGGGTGAGGACAGTAGACATGGAGAGAAGTGGATTGACCTGTGACATATTTGGAGGTAAAATTGATAGGACGAGTGATAATTTAGTTGTAGGGGATGAGAAAGAGGGTAGAATCAAGAATGACTTCTAGGGTTTTTAGCAACTTAGGGGTAAGAATGCCATGCACTGAGATTGAAAAGGCTGGAGGAAGAACCAATTTGAAGAAGTGGCGCCAAGAATTCAGATTGAACATGTTAATATTGAGAAGTGCGTTAGACGTCCAAGAGATGACGCCAAAGAAACAGACTATGAGACTGGAGCTCAGGGAGATGTCTGAGTTGAAGATCTACATCTGAGAATCCTTACAGATGATATCTAGAACCAGGGGACCAGATGAGATCCCCTAGGGAGAAAGTAGGAATGGAGGAAAGATAACATCTCGAGTGCAGTAAGGTCCTCCAAGAGTTAAAAGTCAAGAGGAGGAGAAAGGGCAGCTGGCAATGACTAGGGAAAAGAGGCTACTATTATTTGCAGCCTCCCTGAGTGATGAGTAAGTAGGCTAGAGGTAGAAGAGTCAAAGGAGCACTTTCCTAGAACTCTACTGGACAGGATGGTTGTGTCTCTGGCACTTAATGTACCTAGCACATGAGAGGTAGCCATAGCATCAAATGAATAAGTGAAGTTTTCTCAAGCTCTCCAGTATGCTGTGGCACATTTCCAGGTATGGGGATAAGAGCCAAACATTTGCTTTGCATTGGCTACTTTCCAGTGGCCTGACATCACAGAACTTCCCAGCCTGCTTTATGAATTTTTGTCCCACCTTTAATAGAATTTAGAGAATTTGCCAATGACTAGTAGAGCCATTCCTTGGATTTTAATTTGGAACAGATAAGAAATCACCAGCTTATATTTTATGAACTGTTCAAGATAAAAATCATTCAGTAAAATAAGTAATTAATAAATAAACAAGTAAGATTGAGTTTCTATAGAAAACCCAAACAACCCTTGGAATTCCTTTCTTACTGCCAAAGATATTGATCTTTTACTAAGTTCCAGAAGGATTATGACCCATTTTTCAATCTACTGTTTTCCCGAGTCACATGACTAGATCAAAAATTCCCATTAGTCAGACTACTCTGAATGACTATGCCTTGTTTGGAAGAAAAAAAAGTTTTGTGTGGGACTTAGGCTCAGAAAGGTTAAGTGACATATACGTGGTCTCAAAGTATTTAAACCCAGTTCTAAAGGACTCCAAAGCCCATTGCTATGGTCTGAATGTTTATGGCCCCTCAATTTAAAAAATTTTTTAAATGTTAAAAATTTTAACATTTTTCATATGTTAAAACTCTAACTCTCAAGGTGATGATATTAGGAAGTGAGGCCTTTGGGAGGTGAGTAAATCATGAGGGTGGAGCTCTCATCAATGGGATTAGTGTCCTTTTAAAAGAGATCCCAGAAGGCTGCCTTGCCACTTCCACTATGTGAGGACGCAGTAAGAGGTTGGAAGTTTATTACCCCAAATAGGGCTCTCACCAGAATCTGACCATGCTGACACCTTCCTCTTGGACTTTCCAGTTTCCAAAATTGTGAGAAATAAATTTCTGTTGTTTATAAACTACGCAGTCTATGGCATTTTGTTACGGCAGCCCAAATGGACTAAGACACCCAACCTCCTTCTCCAACACTTTGCTAATCCCAAGAAGCTTCACTGAGATAGGGGTTGGAAGGTGGCTAAGATTTTACTAGTTTTAAAGGTATACTTCATTTTTAAAAATAACAAACAAAATCTTAACAATGTGAAGAAAAATAAAGT